ACAGACTGGGGGCCACACATATGTACATATATGGGATATTTATGAGCCAGAGGGAGTGTGGGGGGTAAAATTGTTGACATTGAAATTTTACGAGCTTTGCTCTGCCATTGTCCCTGTTGGGGGAAATCGGAATAACTGCTCTTACTTTTTGCTTTAATTAAAAATATATATAGTATGTAAAAATAAAAATGAATATAGCATGGAAATGCATAAAATTCATGGAAATGTTTACCAAACCTTTTGTTTGGCTTGGCAATTTGATGCCTGGCTATTTGCTTTTTGATTTTTCACTTAAAAACATGTTCAACTTTTGAATTAATTTTTGTGAGTTCCCAAAAAAGGAAAAGATCGAGTGCAATTAGTTGGGAAAACAAATAAAAGCTAGGATTACCCTAGACAGAAGAAGCGTTTGTTCCTCTTTGATTTCATTAAAAGCGAAAAGCGAGAGAAGAGCAATAATTGCAAGCCAAGGAGTCAGTCAAATAAAATATTAAACTCCTTTATTTAAATGAGGATATTTCTGCCCCCTCCTCTCACTTTGGACTCTTTTTCAAGTGGCAGAAAGTTTACAGGAGTGAAAAACTCCTCCAGCTCTCAAGTGGAAGAAAAACAAGGAGCAAAAAACAGCAGCTCAGGGTAACCCGAGACCAGAAGCGAGATTTGCTCCTTGCCTGAACGGAGATGGTAACGCGAAGCGGGCCAAAATAGAAGTAACATTCTATTATTAACAACGCCACTCCGTCGCTCCTCTCGGGCACTTCATAAACAGCAGCAGACTGCCAAGAGCCGGGCCGAGTCGAGTCGAGCTGAGCTGAGCTGAGAATGAGAAGAGCAATATGAAACAATGGCAGTAACAATGGATGTGGATGGATGGATGCCTGGTGGCCGGAAGGACCGGCAGCAGACAGGACAACAAGGATGCAGGAGGAGGAGGAGCAGCAGCAGCAACAACAACGACAACGTGACGACGTCATCATTGCCAACAAAGTGTTGACATCTTTTTGCCCATTCATCGTCTGTCCCCAGTCCATCCATCTCTTTTACGCTCCAAACTCAGTGGCAGTCCAACCCACCTTACCCCCCATTGGGGCCAAACAATCCTTGACTAACGCTATTCGTCCTTTTTAATTAATTTCACTTACTGCAGTCTCTCTCCCAAAACCCCGCAGAGGATAAAACAGGAAGAAATTATTTGGTATAGAAATAGAAAAATTAAAAAATAATACAAATATGGTAAGCTTGGGTATTTGTATAAAAAATCTCTTATAAACCTGGTAAAAATAATATACTAAACTATTCTTTAAATCAAATATTATTACCCAAAATAAAAGTTCTAGTTTTTCTCTCTGTTTAAGCTGTCAATGCGACATGGTCCAGTCTCACGTTGAGCTCAGTGTGTTCTCTTGAATGGAGAAATAAAGGGCAGGTCCTTAGGGGGCTGCTTCTGCCTTCTTCTCCCCCCTTTTATACATATATATATATTTCTTTTTTTGCTGCAGCATGAGAAGTTTTCTTCATAAATTTATAAGCGTCACGTTGCTGACACTCTCACATATCTTTGCACACACTTTTTTCTCACCTTCCTCGCTGCTTTACCTCTCTCTGCCTCCACACCACACCTGTGCCCCAGATAGACAGACGGCTAAAAGGACATGGGTGGCAGCAGCGGGATTTCGAGGCGCCACAGGATACGAAATGAAGAGATCAGAGGCAAAAGCTTCAGTTGTGGGGAATAAAAAGGGAGAGCAAATCACTTATGCAAATTGGCCAGGAATTTTGCGCATTGTTCACTCAGTTGGGCGAAAAGAAATGTTAACAAAAAGAGGAGGAAAATCTGGAAAAATGCTAAAAGGTTGTAGGTTAAATATTACCCCAAGAAAAGTATTGTAAAGTGTAATGTACAAGTTTCAGGGATTTAATAAATATTTTTGAAGGGAACTGGAACCAAAAAACATGTATTTTGTATACAAAATCGGGGATACATTATTTATAAAGCTTAAAAAACCCTTACAAAGTTCTAACATAAGTTGTCTATATTAAAAACTTCTTGACCAAACAGTTTCCTTGCTGAATAAACTCCACAAAACCCACAAGGAAGTATATCCAACCGATAATAACCCAAAAATGACCTGGCACACTTAACACCCATCAAAGTCCCAGTCCTGGTTCCCACTCTCCGCTTCCTTCTCAGATATCAAACCATATCTTATCTGTGGGTAAGTTTCCTCTTGCCACCTGGTGGCCATCTCCTACACCTGCACTTTCACCTGGCCATTATTTCGCTTTGAGTTGGGGTGGAACGGCTGCAGGAATGGCCAAATTAAATAGCCATGTGCTCCACCTTCGTGAGTTATGGGTTAAAGAGAAGTCTCCCCCATCTTCCTAAGCATCGTCAGGTGTGGGAATCTCGAAAATTAGATTTCCCGGACAACAGGTTTCCATTATTGGTGCTCTGGTAGCTCCTACGCATTCCGTTTTGCATAATACATAAATATTTTCTATTTGCCGTCGTATTCCACAGGATACGTTGTACCGTACTACGTCTGCCGGGGTCTCGAGTGGCAGCAATAGGCACAGCATAAATAAGCAGGGTTTTCCTCCTCTCCGACCAGGTGAAGGGGAGAAAGCTGGCTGGAGGCAGGTGGCAGGAGCCGAGCCTGCCACTCGTCACTCACCCATTTCGCCATTTGCCATTCATGCGTCGTCCTGGTCTCTCAGACATCATTCATACAAATGTCTGAGCCTGCTCCTGCTGCTCCTCCTACTCCTCCCTTTCACCTCAACTGGCTCCTGCTCCTTGGGTTTTATTATTTATGTTACTCATTCGACTCGTATCCTGCTTGTTGATTGCTTTGCCTACACGTGTAGTTTTCTCTCTTTCTCAGCGAATGTTGCCAGAGCTTTTCCTGCCCTTATTTACCAATTCCTGTGGCTCCTTCTTCATCTCCAAAGGAGGGTTGAGGAGTTGGGGCTGTGGAAAGCGTGGAAAGCTGCCTTTGTTGGGCTTGCCTCGTCGCGCTAATATTATGAATGGCAACTCATGCATTGTAGCCAGTTTTCCTCGGTTCTGGGTTCTCGGTCCTCGGTTTTTCTGTTTCAATTTCTATTGCTGCTGCTGCTTGCTGCTACTTCTGCCCCACGGAAAATTGTGGTCGCCCTCTCTCACCTTTGAGTATTTACTGCTTTCGAAAAGTAAACAGGAGCGGAGTGGAAACTGTTAGGGGGAGTTTGAGACTTTAACATATTTTGTATCTAAAAAAAAAAACATTTGAAATGCTTAATTCTGATTAGAAGACATTACTTAACAAAATTCCTTTCTTATAACTTTTTGTTGTTATATAAATATATTTTAATCATTTTTTAAAAATATTTAAACATAATTTTCAGACACAAAAAGGTTAAAATATGATTTCATTCAGAATAAACTATGAAAAACGTTTTACAATATTTCCTAAAACTATTTTAAAATATCCCTAAAATACCCTGTATCCCTCCTATAAACCATATTTCGCTCCTGACTGCTTCCTTTACTCGCAAAAGTGTCAATGTAAGCTTCCCCCCGTCCCCCCTTCTCCGTGTGAGCCTGCCGTGTGCGTGTGCGTCCTTGTGCCCAAGCATATGTGAGTGTTTATATTAGAAGAATCGTTGTAAGCCCCTTTTGGCCAAACAAAATGCTGCTAAATTGCTTCAAGAAAGCGAAGAATAGAGGCAAATAAAGTAGAGCACATAAGTAACACACACACACACACACAACAGCAACGAGAGGGAAAGCTGAAAGGAAAGTGTTGTCGAGGGGCGAAGCGAAAAAAGGGGCGACCAGATACTTAAATCCTTGTATTTGGCCAGCATTAAGTTATATTTTACCTTTTCTGCTCCCCAAAAAAATTCACTTTTCCTGTGCATTTCCCAACTGGTAATAACAAATTGAGGTCAATTTGTTTTGGCATGTTGAAAGGTTGACAAAAATCTACCCACTATATGTGCCCAGTACTTTCATATTCCATAACCCCGTCGTTTTTCCATGGGCTCTATTTGGCCAAGCCGGAATGTTTTTTACCCGCCAGCCGCCGACATTGTTGTTAAATATAACAATATTTATTTATTTATTATTTACACGGCCCCCGGCACAGCACAACTGCCAAGGTTGTGGGCGACTCCTCGCCTCGCTCCTGCAATCTATCAGAGATATTGCTCCCAGGGTCTCTGTCCCTGTCTGTGCTGGCATTTTAAATATTTAAGTCATTTTCCAGCCCCCAGAAGGTAGCGCAACATCATTAAACTTATTGGGTTACACGATGTCGGGCAATTGCATTCGAAATGAGGGGGGAAAACGGAACGGACACAGGATCCTGCGGGGATATCCGTGTGGTTTTGTACCTTCTGTAGTCCTGTTTGTTCGGGGTTCTCGACGTTCTTCGGGGGCGTGTCCAAAGTCTGTAAAGTTTCTGTTCCTGATGAATTCGAATGAAGAGGCGTTGACGTATTGATCCAATTGGTTAGAGGTGAAAATTGGTCAGGTATCTGGGTATGAGTTTTAAGTGAGGAGTGTGGGAATAAGAACCCATGTCAAGGACTTCTTACAAAGACTTAAAAATCAATAAAGTTATGCTGACTTTACAATTATTTTTCTATAATTTTTCCTTTAATTTTTAAGGAACAATTTGACCTGTATTTATCTCTTTCAATTTCCAATTTGCTGTCACATCACAAACCCAATTCCTGGATTGAACACGTTCCTGTATGCAGATTTGCCTGGCTACCAGATTTTCCTTCCTCCCTCAAAAATTACGAAACTAAATTTCCCGGAGAAAAGGCGAGAGTTTCCAAACTTAACATGCATTTCTCTCCAATTCCCATTTGCAATTCAATATTTTGTTGCTCTTATTTTTTTTTGCAGGCTCCCCTCGATGCCAAAAATTGTGCATAACTGAAAATTAATTCATGAAAATGTTGTTTTCGATTGTTTTATAAATGCTCCTCTTGTGTTTTTCTATTTTCAGTGGCAAATGTCAGCGGCAGCAGCAGCAATCCAGGACTGGTGATGGAGAAATCAAAGTGAATAGAGAGCCAGGGAAAATCAAGTGGAAAAGATGAGAATTAAAATGCAAGCAGCTGCTGGAAAAAGCGAGAAAATCACGAAACTGCAGCCAGAACCAAGGGGCAACAACTTATGAAAACGACTCAAAAAAGGAAAGCGGAAAAATCGAAAACGAATCAAGCCAAACGGAAAAACAACGAACCAAGGAGGAAAATTAAAGAGCAACAATTACCAGGGAAAACTCGCACAACTAAGAGAGAGGAATAAAGGTAGTTCGGAGAAAGTCAAGGAGGAGTCCAGCCCAAAATGGATACACTTTCCGCTGCGGTTCTTAACCGCTGCCAGCTGGCAACGGCCTTCCTTCTAGTCCTAACCGCAGCACTCTCCACGACGATGGTCCAAGCCGAACAGCACCCGGCCACGGCCGACGAAGGTGAGTTGTTACCCTTTGCTCTTACCATTTCCATATCATTTTATGATACACATTTCGACGGAAGTAGCACGGCATAAATAAATAAAAGGCAACCCGAAAAAACAACAAACAAACAAACGGGGGAAACACATCGAATTGCGTGAAAACCTCAATTGAAATATAAACAGCGTAACCGCAGAAAACCAGTTGAAAATGTTTGGAATTTAATGTGGGGTTGGTGTTGCCACAACAACAACAACAACAACAACAGAAACAAAAGCAATTTAGACATTAACACTTTTTTTATTCTGCCTAGGGTGGGGTTTTGAGAAAATTCCAATTAAAGCTGGACAAAAACTAAATTTTCCACAGGATCCTACATACGATAGTTGTTCCATAAAAAATGCAACATTTTTAAATGCTTTCCCTGCCCCTCGGGTTCCATTTTCCAGCATAATGACATTTCACGGACATCCAAATGAAATTAGAGAACATGTCAATGAGTTTGTTTATATATCAGGGACCTCGAACCTCGGACAACGATTGCGTTTAGTTTTCCCATTACCCAAAGCGAAGGCGTAACCCCACACAGCAGTAGACCAAACATCTGGCGGGAAACGTCGCCCATGGAGGGTTAATTGCACGGGCCAAATGGGAAATGGGAAATGGTAAACAGGGAAATTACATTTTTGACTTTCCGGATCTCGGGTATCGTAGTACATAAATGTCTTGCCCAGCGGAATCAACCCAGAAGTTGCTACTGCAGCTGTGACTCTAAATTTGAGTAATTAACAAACTGTGACTATACGAAATTTTAGTTTGGAAGTTGAGAATATAGAAGAATATAGAAGAAAAACAGTGGGTTTAGCTTATTCCAAATCTCTCTTATATTTTCCTCTACAATCAAGTCTCTTTTTCCCCTTTTAAAAAACAGCAAACAAATGTAACTTTTCGATATTGTTTGTGACACTTTCTTTCCGCTTGAATTGTGACATGTGGAACCGGCGGCAGTTTGAACTTTCCTCACCCTTGTTTAGCCCTAAAATCAACCCTCGAGCGGATCGCGATCATCATCATTGTGTCATTGTCATCAGTGTCAAAGCCAAATGTGATTTAAATTCGATTATTCTCAATTATTTTGTTACATGCACTTCATTTCCAGTGACTCAGCCAGCCCAAAAAAAAAAAAGGAAAAGCAATGAAATTTTCACCCCCCTTCAAAAGGAGGAATTATTTCTTTTTTTGCTTCATGTTTTTATTGGTTCACTTGAGTGGATTTGGTCTGGGGACCGGCGACGATGTCTGCCGCCGCCTCCCTCCTTCGTCTCGCTGCATTTGTTTGATTGAAATTGATTTTGTCTCGCCTGCGGGGATTTGTTGGAACGGAATGCTGGGCGGAGAGACTCGGGATACTCCATATGAAACATTACTTTCGAGTACTTTCTCCCTGCTCTCCCACTTGACTCGCAGTGACTCCTCCAATAAAGATTAAATTCATGCCGAATGGTCGCTCATTGAGATAAAGGCAGAGGAGAGGCTGAGGCTGAGGACTCGTAAGTGCTTTCAGATGCTGACTCGTTATGGTAATCTTGTAATCCCCCCCCCTTGCCCATAGGTTTTTGACTTATTTATAACACCATTCAAAGTGATTACAATCTTAATTGTAAGTGGATGCACTTGTTCTCATAGAGAGCTCTATTTTTCCAACCCCCTCGAGTGTGTAGTTAGTATTTCCCACACAGGAAGTAAGGGTTCATGGCCCTAACGAGGCTATGTCTAATCAAATATTCAACCTTTTTTCTCTCTCTCTCTCAGTTGGCCAAAACTGATTTCATGGCTGCGATAAGCAAATATCTGCCATTCCCAACAAATTACTTGTTAACAAGTGCATTTTAATGTTCAACTTTTTGGCCAAATTGTGGAACACACACACACACACATGGTCTTTCTCTTGTGTGGCCACAACTGAAATTCATGTGGCCCATAAAAAAATAACCCCCGACTAAAGGCAAGCCTACAAATGGCCAAAAACCCTCACTTTGTGAATGTGTGTGAGTGTGTTTTGGCCAATTGGAACAGAAAATTGTGAAATGGTTTTTGTGCTGCTTTGTGATTGCGGCGGCCCTTTTTTTCCTCGGATTTCAATGTAATTTGAACATGCAAACGGTATGCCGCTTAACTGCTGCAGTGGGGTCAGGGGCGTCGTTTATAGAAGGGTGCTAAAATGGAAGGAATAGGCCAGAAGTTGGGTTTAATTTGAAGGGGTAATGATACAAGAAACACAGGGGATTTCATTGAATTAGTTTGATATGGATTTCACAGAGAAATATCTAGTTGAAAAGGTGTAGTAAGAACTCTCTAAGGAAGATTTTTGTATCTGTGAGAGTTCTAAAAACCCTTTTCCACACTCTATAACAAAGTATTTCCCCTTTACTTTCAGTTTATATTTATGCCACTCAATCAAAAAGTTTATAAACAATCTGAAAACTTTCAGTCTTTCAGGTCAAGCTCTGTGGTCAGGGCCTGTCATAAGGGGTCTTCAATCAAAGGTTTTCCCATTTTTATTTAAAATGAAATTGATTTTCCACCCTGTCCAGAGGAAATGGGACTCCTCCTCGTTGGCTTTGATTAGCCGAATTAAACAGAAAATGGAATAATTAAATGCATTGGCTTTGGCTTTGGCTTCAATTTCCATGCCGTTCAATAAAAAAAGGTCGGAAAATGCTTTGAATAATAATCCCCTCTGAGGGGGGAAAGTGACAAATAAAAAAAGCAAATCGTGAAGAGGTCGCAGCTGTTTTGACGCAGGAATAATCCATTAATTCAATAAATGTGTAGCGCTTTCAGCTTTTGTTTTTGTCTTTTTATATTGTTTTTTTGTGTCGTCTCTTTTTTGAAAGTCAAATATTTGTACAATAATTTGTGTAAAAATGGTGCAGCATCTGGTGACGAAATCAAAACCGATCCCGAGAACCCGAAACCGAAACCCTGACCCGGGGCTAAGCGCTCCTGCAAATAAGAAGAGGTCCTTCTGTGCTATCTATCCTATCACCAGGGGCGGAATCCCTGCTCCGCTGCTCATTTTAATCTTTGATTTTTGTGAATATTGGCAGAGGACCCGCCGACCCTCGGCAGGAGCTAAGCACACACACACAGGACACAGAGCAGGGCAGACACTGTTGGGAAAACATGGAAAATACTTGAAAAATTACTCACCCGCAGCGGCGACGGCGGCGGTGGTGAATGAATGAATGAATGAAAATTTTCTGTATGGAAAATCCTAGGGAAACTGGGAAACGTTTTAAGCAAACACACATGTGTACATATGCGGAGGAAGTATGCATTCGGAGCGGTGCCAGCGGGTGGCAGAGCAGCGCAGCTCAAAAATCAATGGGCTCAAAATATTAAAGCGCTCGATTTTCATGTTTTTCCCTTGTACAGGAGAGCCCTCGATCCTGGACCCCCATCCAACCCCCATTACTTCTGCACCTCCCTTCTCAATTTCCGTACGTGTGTGTGTGTGTGTGTTTGTGCTCCGATTTCGATTCACCCTGCCCATTGCCATTCCGATTTCGCTTGAGATTGCTGTTTGTGCAATGGCAGCAGCGGCTGCCTTTTCGATTTGTAAATTGGCACTCAATGAATCAATGGATTTCGCTTCGTTTTTAGTTCTGACCGCAACACGGTCGAGCGAGGGTGGTAACTGGAGTTTTTGGGGAAGGTAGAACATGTTTTAGGTTTTAGTTTAAATGAAGAGAAGTGTATAGATGAAGGAAGAAACACCTAACTACAAGTTCCAAGTTCTTAATTACTAAGTTCTCCCTAAAAGCAGCTAAAATAAGAATTTATATCTTCCGCTACTGCTTGTGCATGGCAGGCAAAGCGTGGAAGAGGGAGTGGAGAACATATCCATGGGCATAAAATAAGATTTTGTGATCCCAATTAATTGATTTAAAATTCCTACAATATACGGATATATTTAAAATTAATTAATTTAACTTCCCATATGAATTTCCCCCTTTTAAATTTATATTTTTAAAGAAACCTTTCAACATTCAACAACTTTTTGATCCAACCTTTTGCCATCTCCATATATGTATGCTTCACATACAAATCACTCAAAGTGTTTTTTTTTTCGTCGGCCTTTTCATCGAGTTTATATTTTTTCAACACTCTTGACGTTTTGAGCCTTTGCCGCTACCGCCGCCTGGCCATCCATATTTGTGTGGAGATTTCCAGCAAAATTTCCGGCTTTCGTTTATAAAATACTTGACCTGCGGAGAAAGGAGGCCAGACTGGGAAAAGTGCAGCTAGTCTGGTTTTCTATATCTCCCAGCGAGTGTTCTGCGGGATGTCCTTTCTTTGAGCCCCTGGCCGTGACTGTGGCTTCGCTTCGAGTGTCCTTCCTGCGCCTTTTCCCCTCCTCCTCCCTCGAGGAGGAACGTGTGGCATGCTCCATTTGTGCGCTGATATACGGAATTATGCTGAAATCACGTTCCCACACACAAAAACACTCGGTGGCAGGGAAAAAAATGTATAGTAGCAGCGCTAGGGTTAGGATAAGAGGTTTCCTCGTGGAGAATCTGAGCCACCAAGAAAAGTGCTTCCTGCATAAGCGATTTTCCGCCGAGATTGTAAATGTGTGTGTGTGTGTTTTTGTTCGCTTTGATGTTGTTTTTCTTATTTGTTGTGTATTATTATGTTAGTGTCTTTGCCCTTTTTTTTTGGGGGGGAAATGCTTTCAACTATTTTTATAAAGCAGCCGGCAGGAGTGGCTCTAAAGTAGATAGAGACAGAGCATAAGTAAAGGGAGCAGGAATATCCTGTCTGTACTGTGCAGGGAAATCAATAGTAATCCCTTTGATCGATTTATAGTATGCTCCTCCTTGGTGATTCCGTAATTTGAAGAAAATTACATGACACGGGACACTGAATTTTTAGAAATTTGGGAAGGAAATTAATTGGGTTTGCTCTCTCGTAAATTTTTAATGTAATTGCGGGGGTAGCTAGAAGGCACTTGT